AACTCGCGACTCGGCCGGCCTTTGCCAAGCGCCATTTTGGGCCGTTCTCGAAGCGTCGCCAACTGGGCTTCCGTCCGAGCCCGGCCGGCCCGTCGACGCACCGACTCATCTGCCCGACTCGACGGCCTTTGCGGCCGCAGCTGCCGCCGCCCAGTTCTGGGGCTTGATGAATCCGCCGGGCTCGAGCTGTGACCCAATCATGCTGGCCAACACGAGCTCGAAAGAGCCAATGCCAACGTCGTTGCCAACGGCGACGGCTACGGCGACGGCGACGGCGAATGCGGGTTTTTGGCCGGCGAATGGCGAGTCGGCGTCGGCCGGTCGTCTCGACGTGTGGTTCCCGTCGGCCGAGACAGTCGGTGCCGGGGGACTCGCGTTGGCGACGGGCCGCGAGAACCGGACGCATGTCGACGTGACGACCGGTTGTCGAGCTGTCGATGGCCGGTTCGTCCGGTCGGTTGGAGGCCAACTCGGCGCGCCGTTCGACCCTTCGGCTGCGCGACTCACGAAGCGGATGGACGCGGTTGCCGTCGACAAGCCGGAGCCCGACGCGGATGCACACGACTGTCTCAGTCTGCCCGGCCCGGCGACTGTCGGGTCGTCTACCAAATCGGTCACTTTGGTTGCCAGGCGGAAGAGAGACTGCGCCGGTCGAGATGCGTCGGTCAGAAGAGTCGGCCGATGCGCCGAGGAGCAGATGAGCTCGGCCGCGTCGCGACTGACGCAAGACGAGCGGCGAGAAGATGTCGAAGAAGCAGAAGCAGAAGAAGAAGAAGAAGAAGAAGAAGAAGACGAAGAAGAAGACGAAGAAGAAGAAGACGAAGAGGAAGAAGAAGAAGAAGAAGAAGAGGACGATGACGAGGAAGAGGAAGAAGAGGATGAAGAGGAAGAGGAGGAGGAGGAGGAGGCTGTTCCGAGAGGCGATAGCGGCCTGTTTGTCACTTGTCCTGGCGCATGCCAACAAAATGTACCGCCGGCCGGTGCCGACGGGCCCAGCCCAGCCTCAAAAGTCGTCTTCCCCCCGTCCGACGGTCTCGCCGTCCCATTCCCCTCGGCAGCTGCCGCCGCAGCCGCAGTCGCCGCGGTTGCCGCGGCCGCTGCCGCCGCGGCCGCGGCCGGCCTGACAGAAACCGGTCGACGCCAACCGGGACACCAACCGCCGCCGCCGCAATTGAGTCAGCCCCAGCAACCGGACAAAGTGTCGCTTGCCACGCCACCAATTCACACTC